TCAGGTTCTTAAACCACTACCTGTACGAAGGCCCAGTTACGATCCTTGGAGGCCCTAAGCACTGACAAGCTCTTAGTGTCCCAGGGGCAAAAGGCCCCACTTGCCCCCAGCGACATGTGACTAGGAGTGCAAACTATGCTGAACTCCAAAATACGGACAAAGATTTCCTACAAAATTCAGACTTTTTCCTGTGTTGACTACTTCAATGCTGCTTTTAATGTATTGATTACAAGATTTTTCCAAAATAGTCATAGTGTGCTATTTCGCTGGCACCTCCAGCACGTGCCCAGTGTACCTAAGGGTGACACAGTCTTCGGCCGTAATGTCAGAATAATGTTAGGAGATAAGAGTTGTCACCTTTCCTCAGACGAGGTCACTGAGGCTCCAGAGGCACTGGTCCAAAGTCACCTGGTCAGTATATGGCCGAGCTGGTACGGCACACAGCCCTCCTGGCCAGTTCTTGTCTTTTGGGTCCAGCCTGGTTTGAGAGCACGGATTTGAGGTCGGCTGCCTGGGCTCAAAAGCCAGTGTCGCATTTACTGTTGGCCAGCTGGTGTCCTTGGGCAGATCAGTTTTCCCCTGTGTCCTGTGTCCTCTTCTGTGAAGTGGAAATGCTACTCATTTCCACTGCATTCTGGGTGTGAGGATCTATAGCCCCAGGCCTGCTCTAAGCCCTTTACCTACAGAATCCCCCCAGCCCCCTGTTTTACAGAAGGGGACACAGGCAGTGAGCGAGGTTACACAGCTAGGAAACGGTGGCCCTGGTAAGAGCTGGTGCAGGCGTGTGGGTGTTTCATACTGGACGGACCTCCAGCAAACTGGGTGGTTGGCACCTGCTGCAGACGGCGGCTATCCTTTACCTCGGAACTGGGCGTTTCCTGGGGGCTGGGAAGCACAAGGCCACAGCTTCCCGTCTGCTTAGGCCCACTTGCTGCCCCCCATGGTGCAGGGAGATGGCCCAGGCCAGGCCATCCCTCCCTGGCCCCGGGGCCACAGCAAGCCTGGGCGGGCGGGGCCAACTGAGCCTGGCCTTAAAAGCAGCCAGCGCTGCAGGCGGGCCACTGACGACCATGGCTCCTCGGAACCTGCCGCTGGCCCTGGGCCTGGCCCTGCTCACACTCTGCCTCCTGGTGCTGCCTCAGGACGCACGGGCCAGGCACAAGTTGGGAGGATTCCAGACCCTGTCGCCCGGCGACCCGCAGGTGGTGAAGGTGGTGCAGGTGGCTATGGCCGACTACAACAAGGGCAGCAACAGCCTCTACTACTTCCGAGACACGGACACTCTCAAGGCGCAGAGGCAGGTATGGCCGGGGATGAGGGTCTTGCGGGGCAAGCGAGATGCCCAGCTGGTGTCTGGTTAAGGGGGCGCCACAAAAATAATCAGCATAATGTTTTAATACATTTTAAAAAATCAAGTTAATGCAAAAAATTCACGGTGCACAAAATATCCAAATTTCTAATAGGATCCAGCTGACCTGCACAGCTTACCGGCCTCACCCCAGTCCCCAGCCTGATGTTGGGTGGGCCAGGGAGAGGGGCGAGGGGGCTAGGGCTGTGGGCTTCAGGATGCTGTGCTTGGGGACATGTGCGATCTTGGGCTCAGCCTACTGTGTGGCCCAGGCCTCTGGCCCTCTCCCCTGGGATGCCCACCAGAACTGCCCCCAGCCCAGGTCTGCATCTCAGGGCCAGCATGCTGAAAGGTATCCCGTGGGACAGGAACGGGAGATGGATGAAGGTAAGGGGTCTGGGCTAAGGCTAGTTTCCCGGCACCCCGACTTGCCACTGTCCTCTGTTCCTAGCTGTTGGCTGGCTTCAAGTACTACTTGACTGTGGAGATGCAGAGCACAATCTGCCCGAAGAACAAGGTGGATGGAAACACCACAGATGTCACCCACTGCCCCCTGGCCACAGGCGTACAGCAGGAGGTAACAGCCCTGTGCCCAACCCTCTCCAGCCTGAGCACCTGAGGTCCTCAGGTTGTCCAGTCAGAACCTGCTCCTGCCTTCTGGGTGACTCAGCCCCCAGGCCAGGGTTGGGTGCTGAGATGAGGGCACTGGGGCTTTTTCCCTGGGGTGCAGAAGTTGGCTAGAAAGATCTGGGACCTAGTTGTGGCCATCTCACCCCCGAGTGTTGCAGGCAGAGGCCTCCTGGGAGGAGTCCAGCCAGGGCCCAGGCTCACTTCTTTCTCCACACTCTGCAGAAGCTGCACTGCAACTTTGTGGTCTTAGTAGTTTCCTGGAAGAATATCTCCTACCTTCAAAAACACAACTGTGTGCGCATGGAGAGCCCTGCGGAGCAACCGGAGGGAGCTGGAGGGCGTGGATGAGAGCCAGTGAATCGGTGGAAGGCACTCGCGAGTCTGGGGGCCACGTCCATCAGTAAACCGCTAGCACTGCTGCTTGAATCCGTCTGGCTGCTCACTCCTCCCCCCCAAGCTGACACCCCCCCAGCTGCTGGGGGGGCTCGTACCATCCCCAGCTGGGCCTCTGTGGTCCCAGCCCAGACAGTGCTGAGGGTGCAAGGTACAGCCCCCAAATCTGGAGTTCCCCAAGGCCCCCATCAGCACAGACAAAAGAGCAAAGCTCCAAAGCCTCCCAATACTCTGGTTAATGGGGTGGGAGACAAAGGCCCAGCACAGCAACGATGCCCCAAGACCAGAAAGGGACGGAGTCGGTGAGGACCTTGAGAAGCGCCTGAGCAATGGTCCCTCTCCGCTCCCAGGATAACTCAGGGTAGCATGTGGTGGGTGCAGCCTGTGGGGCTCCAGGACACCGAGTTCCCAGCCTGTGAGATTCTTGAACCCACATGGGGCCCAGGGGTGGCAGAGCCCCTGGGAGCCAAGAGACCACAAGATCTGAGGGGGGACTCTCATGTGCACACGTGGGCCGCACGCCAGGACTCCCCAGTGCTTTGCCCTGGGCAAGACCCCTGGAAGGGGCTGCACTGGGAGCCCCAGGGAACCAAGGTCAAATCTACTGCCCATAGGAGAGATGAGGGGACAGATTAATTTAATGTTATTTAGAGAAAACAGAGTTGCAACATTTTTGCACACCTGAATTTGCAGTTACAGTTCATACTTGCTATATACACACACACCCAGAACTCAACACACCACACATGCAACACACACACTTAGATGCTCCTACACACATACAGGAAAAAACACACGCACACAGCCTAGCAACCCAGAAACACACAGAAGCAACACCCCCACCCCCAACTGAGAAACAACCTAGAGATGTATACAAACTTCCCACTACAAAACCCCGGAGCCCCATGTGCCTCATCCACACCTTGGACAGGATGGGCATAAGCCTGGAGCACCAGGTGTGGGTGCTATCAGGCCCAGGCAGACAGTACTGTGGTGGCTGAGGAGGGTCCCCACAACCTGCTGCCCCTCCAAGCAAGGCTTCACGCCCCAATGGGCCTGCCTGGTCCCCTGCCCCATGCTGCAACCCGATGAGGAATAGCCCCAGCACACCATGCCCTCTGCCCTCCAAGGCCACGTTGTGGGGGACAACAGAGATGGAAAACAGATACAACCCCCACAGGGACGTCTGAGTTGCTAAGGGGCTGTGTTTGACAGGAGTAAGGGATGCAGGGGAAAACTCCCAGCCTGGCTTCTGCCTAGGCCTGCCAGCTGTGGCAGCTCCAATAGCCCAGGGGATGCAGTGGGGCAGCTGCTTGGATGGGCTCCCATATGCCACCAAGCAGGAGCCTCCAGCACGGGGCTGGCACAGGGTGGGTGGCAGGAAATGCTTGTTGAATGAGTGAGAGGTGGTGGGTGAGGTGTGGCCTTTCCACCCTCAGGATCTGTGCCTAATTCCCAGATGGTATTTCCTCTGCATAGTCCATGGGTCCTGAGCCAGGCAGAGCCCTTGGCCAGGCCAGGGTGGGGAGGTGCTGTCCTCAGGCCCGGAGGCTGCACCACTGTCTGGTCCAGCCTAGAGGCAGGGAGATGGCTCACAGCACTGCCCATCAGCCCTCAGTCCTCACTCCACATCCTGCTCCCAACCCCCTTCAGCAGTACTGCACCCCAGCTTCACTAAAGGTAAGGCGGGTGCTGCAGGATGTGGAAGATCCCCTCTGTTTGGAGAGGCCCCAGGGTGGGCTTGAGCTTGACCCAGATGAAGATCTCCAGCACACAGGACAGACCCAGGCACTTGGGGACTGGGGTCAGCATCCCACGGCCACCCCAACCATGGGCATCCTGCCCAGGCTCAGGCTGAAAGTAGGGGAGTTCATCTAAGGCCTAGACCAGGCAGGCTGGGGAGCAGCCATCAGCCTCATTCCCCACTTTCCTTTGGTGGAGGCTCAGCCATTCCACACGCACACCTGCTCCCACCCCAAGGCCACAAGGACCTGCGCAGCCTCCGCCGTGTACGCCTCACTGAGGCTCTTTGGTCTGACCCCAGGCAGGGCAGGGTATGGCAATGACCTATGAGCTGTGGATTTGTGCTACCCCATGAGCTGGCACCCTTATATGAGATGCTGAGGGCCCTGGCAGACCCCAGTTCCTGGGCTGGAGCCTCATTTCCGGAGCCTCCTGGTCCCCTAGGCACTGATGCCTGTGTGCTGTTCTGACCTTTCCCCCACCCTTGGGCCAGACAGACCTTCCTCCATAAAGCAGGGTGACTTCCCCCTCGCCACTCCAGCACTGAGCCTGGCCCACTTTCCACATCACTCTCCAGCTGCTTCTAATGCACCGCTGGCCCAAGCTAGGGTACCAGGTGCGGTGGGGCTGAGGAGACAGAGAACAGCCCACCCCACATGCAGCACGATCCACACACACGAGTGTTCGTGCACACAGCTTCCCCTGCCCTGTGCCTTGGCCCGGCCAGGGAGGACACAGAGCAGCTTGGGGTTTTAAAACTCTGTTGAGGCGCGGCCCTGCAGGCCTGACAATCATTCCAGCAGATGTGGAGACTAGGCCGCACCCACCCTGGCAGGCAGCTTGTCAGTGCTGCAGCCTGTGGCCTGCATGGGGGTCCCCTCTCTTTGGGTTCACTTCCTGAAGTCCTCCTCTCCAGCCTGTGGGGGAAGCAGCAGGAGGGTGTCTGAGCCAGTGTGGCATCTTCCTTCCTGCACACCCATGTCACTGTTGTTCAGGGTCACTTCTTGGCATGAGCCCCTCAAGCCTGGCCTTCCAGGGCCCTTCCCCTCCCTCCTCCAGGCCTGCCCAGGCTTGCCTCAAATGCAGTGTCCACAATCTCATCAGTGATGGAGGCCTGGGAGCGGAATTTCTGTTGATGTTGCTCCACCCCAGCCACCAGCTGTAGGAAGTGGACCAGGAGCTCTTGCTGCCTGGGAAGTGGGGGGAGGCCAGACCTGGCAACCTGCTTGGCTTGGCCTTCTGGGCCCCCAGAGCCCCCAGGCAGCTCTTCTTGCCTGCGCCTCCCCTTATATCACCTTAGAGCTCCATTTCCAGCCACAGCCACAGCTTTCTGAGTGTGGCAGTTCATGGAGTGTTTCCTTTCCCACAGATTAAAAGGCCCCATGTCTGCCTGCACCACAGAGGGTTCTGCCCATTGTTTACCCCCTCAAGCGTCCATCCCTCCATCCATCCACCCACCAGCTTGGCCTCCAACTATCCATACCTCCCCTTGCACCCACTCAACCACTTACCCATCCACCCACCCCTACCTGGGTATTCACTCTCCTGTCTGACCACCCCATGCACCCACCCCTTCAGCAAGCTGTACAGCCACCCACTTAAAGCTCCACCATTCACTCACCCAACTACCCACTGACTAAATCCCTTACCACCTGCTGGTCTTATCAATCCATCCATCAAATAGCACTGAAATCAGTTAACACTGCCAGGTGCCCAGAGGACTCATTTGTGAACAAGAATCAGCCCCGCCCTGGAGCAGTTTAGTCCATCCAGTGCCCCAAGAGCAAACCCAGCGGGAACACAGGGCACTGAGGGGCCTTCGGGAGGAAAACCTCACCTCCTCAGCAAGGGCTTTCAGAGGAAGGGCCACCGAGCTGCTTTTGAAGGCTGGGGAGGGTTTGCCAGGCTCAGGCTGGGTTCCCCCTCCCCCCTCCAGAAGAGTGGGACTGAGCCGGGGCCCCCACAGGTCTCAGGGAGGGAGGGTCAGAGAGCTAGGGAGTCGGAGGTGGTGACCCTAGGAGAGGTCAGAGCATGCCCCAGACCTCATCGCAGGGGAGGCAGGGGCCCTTGTTGGGTTCTCAAGTCAGGGGGAGGGAAAAGCCAGAACTCCTTTTAACAAGACTTCTCTCTAAACAAAGAAGAAGAAAAAAAGAAAGAAAAGGAGGGAAAAGATGAAAACAAATCAAAAACAAGAACAAAGAGCACTCTCAGTGGAGATGGCCCAGCAGGGAAGGACGTGGAGCCAAAAGCTCCCCTGGGAAGTGTGGAGATGGCCGGGAGCAGTGCGTGGAGCCGGGCCGGGGG